GGGGGATCAATAAAGTATTTGTGATTCTGGATAGACAGTGCTCGAAATTTCCACCAGGAAGCGCCGCAACGCATCCACTACCTCCACTGCAGCTGGATGACAGAATTGTGGTGAATCTAGATTTGATGTAATAAAAAATCACAGAAAACTGATCATTATTTTTCACACTGAGGTCGCACTGCAAAAAATCAGAGCTGTATCTGATTTGGACCACATATTGAACACCTGAACACCACACCTACAACCTCTCTTACTGCACATCACTCCAGCTTGCACTGCTTTTTTTCTGTTCTCTCTCCCAGCAGTTTTATAAAGCGCCACACAATTTTTTCACTCTGCTGATTCAGTTTCCACAGCTGCAGGTGCTGCAGGTGTGTCCATGCCGATGACTTAATTTAGGCGTGTTGTGTGTTCGCTGGCACAGCATGTTATATGAGGACTGGGAAAACTCGGGTTCCAATTCCAGCAAGTCACCAGCCGATTCAATTCAATTGCATCTCTTTAAAATAAGAATTGGTGTGTTTTTGATGCTGTGGGTCACCTTCCTTCAAACAAGACAAAATCCGAAAATGACATTTGATTCTAGAAACATACTTGATTTATATTAGAAACAGATTTAAAAAAACTACACAGTTCAGTCTAGTCGCTGATATTATTTTTTTAAACAAGTGAAAATGTGTACTGGTGTAAATTTGAGTGTGTTGACTTGCACTGTGATGCTCAACCTGTCATACTGGATTACACAGAACACATTAGACTGATAATTTTCAGCCATCACTGAGGGAAAAATAAAGCTGAAACTGTGCTGTATATAATAAATAGCATTTGACTCAGCTCTGTTTCTATTTATTCACCACAGCAGGTGTGTTTCCCCCAGAGTGTACTGTATCCTATGGCAGAGGAGCCTTTGAAACTGTAACTAAAGGAATAGTTCAACATTTTGGGGAATGCAAATATTTGGTTTCCTTACAAATAAGATGACATTCAGATGTTTAAAGACCTATGGAAATACTCTGCTTGGAATAATTATTTGTGCCTTTTTTTTAATTATGATGTTAAATTCACAAAATTAAATCTGCTCCTCTTGTCCCTCATGGGAAAAAATCTGAATCTATGAATATGCTAAATATTGGTAATTTAAAAGTGAGATTTAAAGTTCAGTGTGTAGGATTCTGTGGAACCTGGTGGTGTAGTTGAATGGTTGATTGTAATTCCATTGCTCCTCCCGCGCCTTCCAACATTAAGGAGAAAGTACAGCAGTAAACAGCCCTATCTAAAAAAGTGTTTGGTTTGTCTGTTCCCGGCTACTGCAGAAACATGGCGGTTCAACATGGTGGCCTCCACTGAAGTCAACCCGCAGTGTCTGTAGATAAAAACAGATGATTCTAAGGTAACGAAAACCCAACAGTTCCTATATTCAGCTCATTATACACTAATGAAAACATACCTATGAATATTATATTATATAAATATATTATATATACACACTGGACATTTAAGGTGAGCAAAGAGACACTTTCCACTTTCAGCAGATGAACTGCAGAAACTCAGACATCATTCTGTTCAGTGAAGCTCAAACATCACACTGTAGGAACAAGAAGAAAAACTTTTTTTTTTTACTGAGAGAGACTTAAATTAAGCTGGAGGTGGTTAACATAATTTAGCGTTCAGGATAAAAGTGGGAGGAAACGGCTAAAGCGAAAGGTCTCTGTAAAGCTCACTAACATATATCTTGTTTGTTTAATCAGTACATAAACAGAAATGTAAAAACTTATATTTGCCATTTCAGGGAACTATAAGTTACACAGATTTTTTGTACGTTTTTCTTGGTCAACAACAGTCAGGCACCATACCTGTGCACACCTGTGTTCACCGACCATATTTGGTTACTTGTGTTACTGCTGAATAGTGCTGCATACTGAGCAGATAAATAACATGTTTGCCAAGTAATAGTTAAGACATGCAAGTAACTCCCACTAAAAACTACAAATTGGAATTTGTTTGTAATGGATTTAAATAAATAAGATACAACCAGTTAATCAGCAAGCTTTGGTTATGTTATGTGTATTCTTGAACTTTAGACAGAGCCAGACTAACTGCTCCCCACTGCTCCCACTCTTTATGCTAAGCTAGACTACCAACGTCCTGACTCCAACTCCAACTTATTTATAAATGTTGAACTATTTGTTTAAATCTTCAGTTCATTCATGGGTTACATATTCTTACTTCTATGGGGTGTTCCAGTTTTAATGGTAACCATGATATTTCATTTTTTAAATATCTCCACCTCCCTACACATTATTTGGTTTCATTTGCCAGAAAAGAAACAAAACACACAGTAAAAATCCCCCCTCCACTCTAAAATGTGTGCTTTTCTTGTTCCTACAGTGTGCTGTTTGAATGCTGTCTGTGCAGAGTCTGACTCTAGAAGGATGTTTTCACATTCATCTGCTGAAAGTGGAAATTTTCTCTGTGCTCATTGAACATCTGATTTTAAGGGGCGTGGCTTACCAGCATGATTTGTGACATCACAAATAGTCTGAAAGTCAGTCCTGGTCCAGTATGCAACTTCTACAGTTACCATACATGTCTGGAGTGGTTCTTTAAAGATAAATTTGACTTATAAAATGTTTATTTTTTCAACTTTCTACAGATATCGTGATAATATCGTTATCGTGACTTGTTTTTGGCCACAATAACCATGTAGTGAAAATCTGATTTCCTGACAGTACTACTTACACCCTATTGAAAGTCACTCTTAAAGCTGCAGTAAGTCATTTATATAAGGACATTTTTTGTCACATTTGCTGAAACTTTTACTATATCATGACAGTAGAGATGAGACAGATAATCTGTGAAAAAATCAGGTTCCTCTGGCTCGTTGCA